TCGCACTGCTCGCTAATGTGCGAGCAACGACGTGACCCAACCATGTTTGTACATTCAAACATTTTAACAAATGTATTTACAGACATTTAGTAAGATTTAATGTCGTGGTGGCCCAGAGGTTAAGGCAACCGTTTCTCATGCATAAGGGTGCAAGTGATTTATTGCTAGTTATAGGTACTTTATTTTATTATTTAGACACCACTGACCTCTGATGAAACCTTATTCTAATTTGAATTCAAAACTAATAATATTTAATTATAAATGGAGGAGGAAACCGTGGTGATTACTAATTCTTAAACCTTTTCCGTGTGAGAAAAAACCTTTGCTCAGCAGTAAGCATTTAATTTTATAGGTTGATAATGTGTGATGTCATTTACATACAGCCAATATGAGAAATTGGCATTGGTAAGATTATGTAGCTTCGCCTGGTTGTCAGCAAGATACAATAAGTCCAGTATTGACGACGGTCTTGCTTGAAGGTGATGTTGTATAAGTACTATTAAGAAAAACCAACCAGTGGCAAGGAATTTGTGAATTTCAATATTTAGTTGTTAGTTGGTCGATCCATGGTTCATCGTTCGTTACAAAGCAACAAACGACAGTGGGGTTTAAAACACATCTCTAGTAAGAACTACATACTAAATACATGTGTTTTGTTTTTAATTTTTTTTTTCTTGCTTATTACATATTATCTACAGGAATGCACCTACCTCTCCTATTTCTCCACCACCCAAAGGTAGACTGGCAGAGAACGCCTAAAGCGTTAAGTCCGCCACTGTACGTTGTGCAAGAAGTGTAAAATAAATAAATATTGTCAAGACAATATCCCGCAGTACCACAGACTGAAGTAAATGTTTCCACTTAGCATTCTACGCCGACATGTCGCTGGAATCTTATATAAAAGCTTATTTTAATTATAAACAATGTACGCGAGCTGCTACAAATTACATATTAACATTGTTCTTTGAAATAAACGCATAGGAAATAATTAGCTTGGTACGTTTATGAATTGCATCCGATCCGATTTAAAGTGTCAGAGAGGGCCATGCTTCGGCACTTTATTTGGCACGAATGGGTCGGCGTGAAACCACCACAGCTTTGTGTATCACGCCGTGACGTCGTGTGAGTGAGGTTTAAGGAGTATCAATCCTTCCCCTCCCCCGATCCCCAAATCCGTAAAAGGTCGGCAATGTACTCAATGTACATGGGCTGCGCTGATGGCTTACCATTAGGTAATCCGTCTGCTTGTTTCCCATCCTATCACATAATAAACAAAGAAAAATATATTTGTTACATTGTTGATTTGCAAAAATCTGAAATTATATATGTCTAATTAAACTATACTGCTTTCTTGAAATCCAAAAACACAAGATACTAGTCGCACGTCGTAACTCAATGGTATAGATGAACAAATCGAGTCCACCAGTCGAGATAAATTAAGACCGGAAAATGTCATTTTTATATCAGTTTATAAGTTAACAATAATAGAAACAGCAGTGATACCTAAGGCTATAAGCTATAAATGTACATAAATGTACACAATTTCCTGTAAAAGGAAACACTAACCCACTGAGCTTATATATAACTGTATTTAGTTTAGATATCGGTTGCGCGATGCTCGCCACGTGGTGTGCCGCGCATGAATATGAGCCCCTAGCGTGACTTGAAACTAGTCGAGTTCCTCGTCAAACCTCTACGTCTTACCTTTTGACTTCACAGTTGGCGCAGTAGCTGGGCAACTGGCTGCTGTGCAACGTGTCGAAGGTTCGATTCCCGTACGGAACTAAAAAAAAATTACACGGCTTAAGTAGCCGTTGAACATATTCATATAATTTTTACACCATCAGCTTAAAAGTGCCCCATGCTGAGCAAAGGCCTCTTTTCACACTGGGAAGATTTGAGCATTTATACCACGCTTGCTCAAGACGGATTGGCCATTATACACTAATAATTAGAAATTATAAGTCCAGATTTCCTCACGATATTACCTTCATACGAGTACGTGGTGTCTAAATAATCATAGAGAGCATAAGTATAACTCGAAAAAAGTCACATTGGTACTGGTCAGGTTTTGAAACCACAGCAACCGGCAATAATAAAATTGGCTGCAACTTTTACCTGCCTCTGAAGGATACATCCGACATAATGAATACTAATAAAAATTCACTTGTCTAATTAATAAAACGTTTTCTTTATGAAATAAGTTGATCGATGTCATCAATACATGGAGCTATGGATGTACAAAAACCCGTCGAGACGCACAGACTGACTGACTTCAACAGACACGGTATACCTAGACGTGAGACGTTTCCGGTTCGCAACTTATGTGAAAATGTGCAAAAGGTTTATGAATCCGGTTTTTCTCATTGTAAGTAGTATGCACACTGTTCAATTATATGACGTGTATATTATATAGATATATTTTTCTTAATTCATCAAACCTATAACCACACAGCAAATTTATCCACTATTTTTTGATGGATATTATTATGCAATACATATAAACCTTCCTCTTCAATCGCTCTATTTAACAGAACGCATCAAAATCCTTTGCGTGGTTTTGAAGATTAAAGCGTATAGGATATAGGGACAGAGAAAGCGACTTTGTTTTATACTATATAGTGATATAGGTAACTTACGTGAACGTGGTACTTCTGTCCCATCCTTTTACTGTACGCAGATACCATTCATACTTTTTACATGCTGTCGGATAACTAGAGAGTAAAGTTGCGGACGTGCAGTTGACATGTGTACACTTCTGAGAAACTTGTAACACTTACTTAGGTAATGTTAATTATATCGCGCTGAACCGACGATGTACATCGACGGATGTCAGGCTCGTTTAGACAAATAACTGTCAATGGGTATAATAATTACTCTAATTCATCGAATAGGTGTGCAACCGTTTCATTAGTCGCCCATGACCCCGCAAATTGACCTTCAGTTTTTTTTTTAATAGACTTGTCCAATCTCTAATTTCGTCTTGTGTCGTGGATGTGTGTAGAAACACACAATTTCACATACACATCACACTAGGATCAAACATTTATAGGTGGATCACAAAGAGTTGGTCCGTGCGGGAATCGATACCACGACAGCCGGTTGTCCAGTCGCGTCAACCGTGCAATCTGACGAAGTTGGTAAAGAATAAAATAAATATTTATCGTCGTTTGTGAAGCTTCAGTTTTATTAAGTCAAAAACTTATTAGGATTTTAATATACCTAGGTCTTAATGTCAAGCTTAGCTCAGCTTAAAATCATGTTCCATTTTCTTTAAGTGATATGTACGGTGGTAATCGAGCTGGCGGATTAACTGATGGTAAGCAATCGACGCCGCATATAAACATCTGCAACACCAGAGGAGTTGTAAGAGCGTTGCTAGCCTTTGAAGAATAAGGTTTTTATGATTTTGGGGATTGGAAAGGGATGAGGGAGGAAAAGGACAGGACCCTCGGTAACATTACTTTCACGGCGAAATACAACACTGTGTTTGTTTCTCGCCGGTACTCTGTATAGATGTGGCATCACTCCAGTCGAGTCGGCCCATTCGTGCCGAAGCATAGCTCACCCACACTTAACTTCATGACGGTGGTGCTACCAATAGATGCTCGCACTTTATAATTAATGGCACAAACACAGCCCTATTATACCGAACATTAGCACTAGGCAGTTCAAAAGCTGCCTAGACCTGACCTAAGTAACTTTTATGGCCGCCGATAATAAGTAATCTACAACAGACCACCTACTTAACTATAAGCACACGATAAAGCTTGTCACAAAATATTACCAACAACTTTATACCACAAGATTGATCGTGTGTAGCATTTCTCTCGAGATGATGGTAACACTGGCGGAGGCCTCTTGCTTAAATGAAGTACAATTAAGTTTCTATTAAGTTACTTTCAACACGTATCGCGTTCGAGATCGGATGGTATAATTACGGGTAACATGGCTCTGTTCAATCTACTCATATTAACATAAAACTTTATTTATAGGTCACTGGATCACTGGGTCGTTTTTAGGGCTGTGCCACAAAGCCTCCTTCCTTTTATAAAAGCCTCCTTCTTTTTATGTGGAAAAATAACAAATGTATCATGCCCTGGGTGAGGTGAGAGAATATCGCTATTGCTGAAAAACCCCTATAATTCTGCTACTCCGGAGTGGGCCGCGTGGTAAATCTTTGGCAAACAGCTTATGAATAATATTTAGATTACCAATTGAGAATATTGCTTTTAGGCTCTGGTAGTAGATCGAAGTTCTTTGATATACCTACCTGGTTTCACTCTACGAATAAATCATATTTTACCGCTTGAATTCTAAACCTAGGCGTTAGGGTAGCGTTCACATATATTACCATAATTGGCGGCTGTCATATTAGCTGTAACACGGGTCATTATTGCGCCCACGGAGCGGGTACATCGACGCAAGCGCAGATCTAGTAGAGTGCTTGCACATACATACGCTTAATCAATGTCCTTCATCGAAATAACAGAAAATTAAAATTGCTGGTCTGCCTATGGTTGGATTTCTGTAAATCACATCCTACTTTACTTTGCACTTCTTTCTGAATGTCTTAAAACCTTCTATAGAAGAACATTATCTACTGATATTAAATAATATGACGAAATAAATTAACCATAATTAGGTAGATATTACGAAAAATGAAGCAATAATGATGAGTACTAACATTCCACTTAAAGACCTTAAGACGGTAGTCGTAATAAGTGTTTATTAATTGCCGCGAGAACTAATTCAAATCGGCCACCAAACTTTCCTAACGGGGAAATCCTAAGTCCTAAAGGAATTTGTAATTCCCAAAAACAGAATGAAATTACATACTGCCTTCTGACCGCAAATGAAGAATAGTTAAAATGAACTCAGAAATACCATTTCCAACAGCAATTGACAAAGTCGTTAGTTTATCACTATAACGGTGTATCTTTTGTAATATAAAGACAAATTTAATTAGTAAGACTATCATAGTTCTCCGTGGCGTCAACATGAAAGCAATACGATTGGTGAGTGTCTTCTGTCTTGTCACAACCTAAATAAATCAAAATTAACTAGCTAGTTATCTAACCTTAACATTTCTATCATTCGGATCTTCAAACAGTATTTTAGGTGTCCATACACAATAATTCGCTATACGAAATGCTGTTTTATATGAATTATAACTTTTATACATTTATCATAATAGATAGAAATTCCAAAACTAAGCTTTTGAGATGTTACAGTTCCCATTGTTCTATGATTTATTTATGATTATCTCAGTGTCTCTTGTACTTTTTGTGTTTAAATAACTCTCTTTGCCAATTAATTTACCACAATGATCCTAAGCAGCTAAAAGTCTCTTCAAACTATCGCATTATGCGGTAATTTTGTCAAGTAAATGTTTAATTGAAATTATTATGTTTCCAGGTTATGGTGCTAGGAGTCGCTGCTGTAGCGTACAGCATGCCGAGCAATACACAAGGGAAGAACTTGATCACAGGCGTCTTCATTCCGTCTGATGCCTTCCAAGACCTGCAGGACCGAGCCAACGCCAACTCCCCACAGATACAAGGAAATAACCTTGTACAAAGTCAACCTAGCTATCAACCGATTGCCTCGAATCAACAGCAATACCAGCCGGTCAATACTAACCAACAAAGCTACCAACCAATCAACTCCAACCAGCCGCAGTACCAACAAGTTAATACAAACCAACCTACCTACCAGCCAGTCAACACGAATCAACCACAGTACCAAACGTACCCGGTCCAGAACCAACCAACAGTTCTGACTAACCAGCCTGCCCAAGTCCAGCCAACAAGCAATCAACCATTGCTGGTCCAAGAACGTTTGGGCAGCGAAGCGCCGGTTTTGACCAACCAGCCTTTGAGTAACAGCCAACCATTAAACATGCAGCCTGTGATATCCAACCAACCTAATGTGGTATACACACAAGATCCAATGTCGGCAAACAGTGACTCGAACCAGCCGATTATGGTTATGACTAATCAACCAAGCGGACAAGGTAACCCATCCATTTTGTACGTTCAACAACCATCCGCTTCCAACGCACCAATTTACGTTCAGCAGCAACCGAACCAAGTACAACCTGCTCAAGTGATCTTCACCAGCAACCCTTCAAATGGTAATCAGATACAAGGAGCGGGATCCGCAGTCTACACCCTGATACCTCTGAATCCACAGAACGCAGTCAACACTAATCAAGGAGGTTCTTACTTGATCCCCGTACAGTCGAGTAATTCCAACCCGATAATATTGAGCACAGGAAACTAGAAATGTAGACAGTTTATCATCGTTATATTTATTTGCAATAAATTACTAGTATACCTAATTAATTGTAAATGGTTGCATTTATTACTTGCTTTAATTATTTCTAAATAACCCAACAGGGATTTTAATGTGAGAGTTTATGATGTAAAAAAAGTCCGAACTTAAAACCTTACCTCGAGTCGAGAGTTCGAGTACAAATTATTACCCACTGTAACTATTAAAGTAGGCACTTTATCATATTGGAAGAATCATGTTTACCTATAAATTATAATCTGGTACTAAGTTACTTGTGATGTTAAAACCTCCCGCTGTCCAGTAATAGCTCGGAATCCCCGTGGGAAAAGGTATAGTTTACAGATCATTAGCGCACATATTTTCAAGATTTTGCTTGTTTTTTTTGCATTTTGTACCTCACAGGCGATGCAAAATAATTCTAATGGTACGTAAGGTTTTACTAATTAAGTAGATAATAGGTAGGTACATAGCGAAAAGAAATGCAACATGAGTGCTCAATGCTTTTATTGTAATCTGGATAATTACTATTATGACTGTACATGTTACATATTTTTACTTATCTGTTATCATTTTAAATTTCAAAGTGGCATCATTAGATGTTGGAGTGAAAACTAGAATTTTGGTTTGAAAATATCAGAGTATGTACCTAAAAACGCACGATATTAATTTTACCTATTTAAATTATTTAATTAAAGAAATCTGATTTTAATTGATAGACTTTCACAATTTATCTGAAAATTTCAATGAACCATGGCAAAATCAATTGTTTAAACGAGTTCATAATTTCTTAATTTAAAGTAATACGAATATATTTGGTTGGACCAAATCAATATCTTTTTGTTTTCAAATGAATACTGGAACGCCCTCTATCGATTTTCATACTCAACTATTTAAACTAAGTTTTGTCTATGCTAGGTCATTTTAGTCGACTAATGTAATAGTATCCCTAAGACGTCATGAAGAAATGACAGTTAAGTGTACGAAGCACATCCCTAGTGTTTAAGCCAACATGGTGGTTGGAGTGCAAGTTAATATTTACGAAAATATTAAAGTAAATTAATAATTTAGTGCGATATTACAAAAACATAACGATGTCATCCACAGAACCTTCCCAGAATAAAACATGGGAGCTCTCCCTGTATGAGCTTCACCGAACACCGCAGGAGGTCATCACGGACGCCACTGAAATAGCGGTGTCCCCCCGCAGTTTACATAGTGAATTAATGTGTCCAATTTGCTTAGACATGCTAAAAAAGACCATGACTACAAAGGAATGCCTCCACAGATTCTGTAATGATTGTATTATAACTGCTCTTCGTTCTGGGAATAAGGAATGTCCTACATGTCGAAAGAAGTTGGTGTCCAAACGGTCATTGAGGCCTGACCCCAACTTTGATTTGTTGATCTCAAAGATATACCCCAGCAGAGACGAGTATGAAGCTCACCAAGAGCGTTTGTTGACTAAGCTGAGTATGTCACACTCACAGGCGTCGTTAGTGAACTCTATTACAGAAGGAATTAAATTGCAATCTCAAAATAGGCCTCAAAGATCTAGAAAGAATCACGAGGACAATAGTAATACGTCCAACTCGAATGGTAACACAGAGAATGCACAAAATGGTAGTTCAGGAACAGCTCCCGCTGCTCCTAAAGATGGATCCTCATCAATGAGCAACCCAGCCCCCTCAGGCCAGTCCACTTCCAACCCCGCTAGTGTGAGGAGCACACCATCTCCAGTGCCATCCAATATCAGCTCAGTGTCAAAAAACACAAGCACTACTAAAAGAGCCAAGTCTATTTTAACTTCAGAACGGAGTGAGGAGAGTGAATCTAGTGATGGAAGGTTGGAAAAATATTAATTTATTGTTTTTGACCAATGTATTTGATATTTGTAACATATTTGTGTATACAGTTTTATTCATAAAAAAACACTAGTAGTAGATAATTTGTGACAAAAGAAAGATAACTAGATAACATTGATATATAAAAAACTACTATATTATATCAGTAAATTAATTAATTTAATGTAATGTATTTCAGAACTGAAGGAGAGAACTCAATGGATACAGAAGGTGAGGGTGAGCCACTGAACCCAAATGAAATAGAGCTGGTCTTCAAGCCGCATCCGACAGAAATGACTGGAGACAACCAACTTATGAGAGCTCTCCGAGACAGCTCAGTGAGGTACTTGAAGACTACAGCCAATGCCTCTGGTAAGTGTTACTTGCTTGTCTAATCAAGCTATTGCTTATTTACTATATAGGTGTTAAAATTTAAAAATATTATATAGCCTCATTCAGTTCAGACTCCATTCTGTGGAATTCTTTGCCGGAGTGTGTGTTCCCATAAGGTGTCTTCAAGGCCTGAAGGAATAGGTTGCTTATGGGTAGGCATGCTCCATCATAGGTTGCATCATTGCTTACCATCAACGGCGTGTTAAAGGCCAAATGCTTGCACATGATGAAATAAAAAACAAAAAACTGGTAGACAATGCCAATGGTATTAAGTCCACCTATGTTCAAATATATTATTCAAGAAACAGCTTAAATAAATAAGGTTTCATTATGTGTATAAGACTACTGGACTCCCAATAAGACACCTGCAACTGCTCTGATGTTGCAATTGCCCATAGGCCGTGCCTTTTTCTTACCATCAAACTGTCAGTCCACGGCCCTGTCTCTGTTTGTATATAGATTATATATAAGAATATATAAAATTTTCCTATGAAGTTATGAAAATAAAGTAAATCATTAAAAATTTAAATAATTGTTATTTACTACATAATCATGTATTTGAACTACATATTTTTTTAAACAAAGTAAAGTTAATCTTTTAAAATTAAATCTATTAACCAGTAAAATAAAACTCATGTCTTTTGATAATAATTTCAGTGGACCACCTAAGCAAGTATTTGGCGATGCGTCTCACCCTCGACTTAGATGCAGAGCTGCCAGAGGCATACCGTTTGCTTAACTTCTGTATTTATGTTGCCCCGGCACCCGGTCAATTCGTGCCACTTGCCGGCTCACAGACCCTGCGCCAGATCAATGATAAATTCTGGAAGGTAATATTCTATACACATCTAACTAATTATATTTATGTTACTAGTCCATGTCTATCAATAACACATGGTATCTCAATTTACATATCTATTTATATATCATTAATTATTTTTTCTGAAAAAATAAACACGTATTTAAATAGGTAATAAAATCCGTTATCGACATCTTATTTTATGTGACCCCTTATAAAAATGGTTGAACATATAACACAATCTATTATCGCGCCGTTTCACCCGATGCCCGCTCCATTTGATCGTAGCGTGATGTTTTATATCCGATAGCACATTGTAACATTGTAGCTATCTATCAGTGAAATAATTTTGGAAATCCGTCCAGTGGTTCCCAAGATTAACCCGACATGTAAACTTAAAAATGTTACCTCTTTATTATTATAATATAGATCCAGAATAAATGAATACTGCTCCTGGTCCGATCCTATAGGCAATCGCGTTTGCGACCATCAAGTCTATTTACCTACGTAAAATATTAAACACAATGTAATATGGAATGCACAAAATTGAAATCTGGTCAATAACATCCTTTCCTTGTTTATATTCCTTGCTTTAAATTTATACATGTTTATTCTTCAGGTAAACAAACCTCTGGAAATGTACTACTCCTGGAAGAAAACTTAGATTTGAGCAACATTTTAGTTGCATAACGAAATGGAAGTGCAGTGATAAAGTATTTATAAATAATTTTTATTGAACTCAATGTGAACACGATTAAACAGAGACATGGACTCTTGATAATTGTGATATCAATTAAATAATTATATCTCAATATAAAAAAATATTTTAAGTTACTATTTAGTTATAAGCTATCAGTTATTTTTTATCAATTGAATTGTATCATAATTTTAAGTATTCAGAATTAATATTAATGTTTTAAATATTAGGATTCCAATTGAAAATTGTAAATATTTTATAATTCTGCAATAGTTTTATTTATTTTAATAACCACAATGAGCTGAATAAACTAGTTTTGAAGGATAATGAAACAATTTTAGTACACTCATTCCATGGAATATTTTTACAATATTTTTAATACAATAACTGTAAATGGCAGTTATTTAATGTAATATTGTTAATTTGATTTTAATAGACCACTTCATCCATAAATAAAATTGTATTCAAATATGGGCCATTTTTTATTAAAATGACAAATTAATACTTCATTGTTTTTTATTGAAATTCCATACAAACCTACTGCTCATATTCTTTTCTGTTATTTTTTGGTATTTTATAGTTTATCGCACTTGCCGGTTATATACCTACGTACCTACACACAAAGAACTAACATTAACACAATGTGTGACAACTTAAAATAACATTAACTTTATTTATTTCCATGTGTAGTATTTTTAGGTTAAAATGTAGTAGATACTGCTGCAACAATTAGATAATAATACGAAATAGTAACAATATAATAGGTACCTACCTATTTCAATAAATTTCCTTATTACTCACTGCACGCGAATCCGTGCCATTTATTGCACTGCTTTTATAAATACATTGTATATAAATCATTCATCAGTCGAGTCTATCTAACGGACCCCAAAATGACTTACCAACAAGGGCTAAGGCTGTATACCTACATAAGGAGATCGAAATTTAGAATAGGTATGTAAGCTATATACTTTGTAACTCTGAGCACTGCTAGGTAATTTAAAAATGGTCATAAAACGATAAAATGTAGCGAGTTGCAACTGCAGTCTTTTAAGTACTTAATTGGAAAATTACTTAAAATATTTCATTACGTGTGTCTGGTCATAAAATCGGTAGAATCATCAAACACTGTTGAGATACAATGCTATCAATTGACCAATCTTGTTGAGCCTGTTAGACGCGCAGCCGCTCACATAATTATCATAGGTAGATGTTTAGTTCAAACCAGTGCCAGATGTCACCGGCTAGGCGGCTGGTGAATCAACATATCTCCGAAAATAAATAAGTACGAATGAATCAAATTTAGCACCCACCAATTGTGGCTTATTCATCAATAGGTATGGTATTCCACATCTATTCAATGTAAAGATTTTGTTTTAAAAATCCAAAGGCATGTTAGGACTGGTTGAACTCTATAGGTAATTCAGAAGTAGGAAAGATTGATGCTAGCAATTTAATGTTTGATTTAAAAAGGAAACAACAAATTTTAATATTCTGAAAATTTTATATCAATATTCACAAATAGTAGGTAGGTATGAACTAGTTGTACCTATTCGCAACTTCTGGTACTGTGGTGGCTGGAAGGTATCTGGATATAGGTACCTTTATCAAGGATAATCAATTTTAAAAATGTGTATGTATAGTATCAAATTAATATGCATTGTATACACACGGATGCCAGGTTATTAGGTACAGTACAAGCATAATAGCAAAATAGATCTGTCGCTGCTTTCAATTTGAGCATACAAATCGGCGCGAATTTTGAAACCATTATGGTAGGTATAGGCACTGTCTGGTACATCGATCGTGCGGCAGACTTATGAATTCGTGAACTAAATATTATTAGGCATATTTTGTACTTTAACAGTGTTCTCTTTGCCTTGACTTTGACCTTTATTCATTCAAAAACTATCGAGAACCAATTTTAATAATACAACATTCAAGGCACAATTTTTAAGCTTTTTATCTATACTTTATTAAATGCTCCCTGAACGCCGTGTATTCTCTTCTTAGTGCTTTCGTCGTCTCCACTTTCAATTGTTGTAATCCTTCGACAATTCCTTCTGTATTATCTGAATCTACAGCTGTAGTCAGCCTTTCCATAGTTACAAAATCGATTTCCTCCAAACTTTCAGCTTTATCTAACAAAAGGAGTACGTCATCCAAGTACTTGCGGTGAGTTCGCGTGCCGCTCTCATCATTCTCTTTATAACTAAGCAATCTTTCCGTATGCTCCCAAACAAGTAGAGCTTTTTTTCCAGCTTTCATTTTTGAAGTGCACATAAAATTTCTGAATAATTTTCTGCCTTTTTCGTCGTTAAGGACATTTTCGATTTTATCCGTGAAACGATCCAAGTCAGATTTTGTTATGTCGTCAGCACTGCCGCAGGCATTAAAACAATTATCCATTTTAATACCATTTACGAGGCACTTCGCTTGTTTTGAATTTTTTATCGATCCAACAACACACAGTTCCGTCTACATTTTGGAACATACTTCATCACAACACCTGCTTTGTCTATTTCACCAAAATATGTGTAGACAGTCAATAAACGAATTTCATTTTGTGATCGTCAATCTAAATCACAGTAACACTTAGCATCACTTTTAAACTTTTAACGAAATCATGAATCACTTGTGATGAATATAAAAGAAGTGAGGTTAACTACAAAAATAGGTTTATAAGAGTTACTTACGAACCGACACCTTCCGTGCACGGCGTAAATAAACTGCGTTTGTGAGAACCGTGAGGCTTGCGGTCGCGTATTATTGGTACGAGAAGTCACGAAGTTCACGATGTCGTTCGTGATAACGTAGTGCGCATGCTCCACTTTCATCGTCGTTTGAAAACTCCCGCCGTGTACGTTTATTTCACAGGAACTCGAATTTCCATAATAAAATCTCGAGTTTTCGAAATTAATACAAAACAAGACAAGAACTATGGCAGCTAGCGTTGCTTACGAAGGTGCGAATGTGACTTGTATGAAAAATTTAAAGCATTACATCACTACAGGTAAAAAATCGCCGTGACCTCGGTCGATGACTGGCGTTGTTCATTCATGGGAATTAAATATCACCGAGGTGGAGCCAAGACAATAGTCTTACGCACACCGCTCCCCTACCTTGTCCCCTTGAATAACATTGATAACTAAGTAGATAAAACTTGATACCGGGGGTATAAAGTCACTAAAGATATGGCTAGGAACAGTTACTTTGAGTATATAGTTATACAGAGCAATTCTTTAATTATAATATTACATATTATTATAATATTACAATTACATATAACAGATCTTATATATCAACATTTTACCTTCAGTGAGTCCATTCCATTGGTAACATAATACCTAGTTATTGATCGGCGCTATTACCTACTTTATTATTATACCTATCATATATGTATTATGTTGGATATTATTTCACGTCTATTTACCTATAAAACAAAAATAGGGACAGGAAAAATGCGAAGGCTCAGTTGGCACTAGAAACTTAGGTACTCTGGTGTGTCGTATGCGTGTCGTGTGGTGGCGGGTTCGATTCCCGAACGGAACAACGCGTTGTATATGTGACTCACAAATTGAGAGTCCGGTTATCAAATCTTTTATTTATATACCTAATATATCTCATTTCTATTTGCCTCCATGTTCTGATTTGTTGTGGGATATAACTTTGTTTTTCTTATCAATAAGTAAATTAGATTTGGTCTTATTCTAGAGAATCTTAGTGACTAACACCTTATTCCTTCTCCAGCTCCTAGCCAGGGCCGTGGTACGCTATTGTGTTTGCACTCGCAACCTCGGGTGGAAAATCAGAATGTAATAATATTATGATCACAAGGAGGATCATGTAATTGTAATTAAGGAAGTTTGAAAGTGGCGTGGCAGTGACTGAAAAGTTGAAAGGGAACCGTTTGTCTTGGTATGGCCATGTGAAAAGGAGGGATGAAAAGCATATTGTAACAAAAAAAGTCATGAGTATAAATGTGGATGGATGGAGAGGGAGGGGGAGACCAAAGAAAATATGGATGGATTGTGTGAGAAGTGATATGGAAGACAGAGGAGTTAGCGATAGCGTGACGAGTGACAGGACAGAATGGAAGAAAAAAACATATTGCGCCGACGGCGGAAAACGGGACAAGGGTAGGAAGATGGATGAAGGAGGATCATGTAATTCATGCTACCCATACGGTGTTTGATAAAATTCAAAATACTCTTCTAAATATGAATATTCTACGAGTCTAAGTAAGTCTAAAGGACACCAATTTTACTTAAAATAATGTTTTTTCTACCTATTTCACAAAATAAAAATGATGATTTTTTAAATTATTGTAGATATTTGGTGGTACACAAAAACACATACCTACACCATTGTTTTATAACCGACCAGTCTGGCCCTGTTAAATATATTTCAAATGTGTGTGTATGTTGGCCTCACAATTTTTGTTTGCTACTTTGTCTGTGGTTGATTTATAAATTGTTAAAATGGGTCAATAATTAAGTCATAAGTAATAAATATTACTTATGAGATAGTAAACTACATATTTGTTTATTTTCAATTAATTAATACACAAAATTAATATTATTTTAACTGCGGAATGAGTCAGTCGATCTTTTGTTGGCGAAATTACAATTGTATATTACGTTGTCGTTTGTCGTAGTGTTTCATCATAAATGAACAGGTGAACGTGATACCTATTATATTTTTATGTTTATAATAAACAAATATTATTATTAAAACATATAATACAATTTATTCAGAAATATTTACCAGAATTTCCAAGAGAATATCTGTTTTTTTTATTGGCAATAAGTACCTAACAGAGATGCCAACATCATGAAAAAATGACGTTTGAGTCGGCCATTTTGCAGTTTTTACGGTAACTGCTATACACGTGTTGGTAGGTTATTTGTTAAATTATAATAAAATACTGTAAAGTTTCAGCATCGAAGTGTGTTAAAACTGTCTACCTACATTCCAGGTTGCCGAGATGGCAGTTGCAAAGAAACCCGTGGCTAAAAAAGCCCAACTGCACCAGAAGTCTGGTAAGAAGGGAGTAAAAGGTGGCAAAATCCGCGGTAAAGGCATCAAGCGGAAGATCAACCTGAAGTTCATGATCGACTGCACCCATCCCGCTGAAGACAGCATCCTCGATGTAGGCAACTTCGAAAAATACCTAAAGGAGCGTGTCAAAGTTGAGGGCAAAACAAATAACCTGGGCAATCACGTTGTCATCGCAAGGGACAAGACCAAGATCTCCATCAACGCAGGTTGGTGTATTCTAATTCTAACTGTACTTCTGTAAATCTTAGTAGTTTAACCTATTGATATTATGGTACTTATGATATTGAAACATTCCTTTTTTGTGGGTTTCAATGAAGCACTCCTAAATAATATATATTTTTAATTGATATTGGAGAGGTATATGAAAAGGTTTCGTTACGTTTTAATAAATATTGCATGATATTTTGTAAACATAACCTCATTGTGCTGCTTCCCTGAGAATGCTCACTGACCCAGCTCTGTAAGGAGATGACAATTTTAGTGTAGATAAAGACACCACTACCGTGATCTAACCTAATTCTTCCCAATTTCTATAAATTTACCTCATAGATGATTAAGCCTACTGAGCTTATGATATGAAGATACATGACGCTGTATGTAAATATTTGTTATACCTTTATCTGTTTTGTTTTCAGATATTCCCTTCTCAAAGAGGTATCTGAAATATTTGACCAAGAGGTACCTCAAGAAGAACAACCTCCGTGATTGGCTCCGAGTGGTGGCGTCTGCCCATGACTCGTATGAACTCCGTTACTTCAACATTAATGCTGACAGTGACAATGAAGACAATGAGGATTAAGCTATTGATACAATAAAATAGTAATTTACAAAGCTTTACTTTTATTTGATGATGCACCCAGTGTTGATACTCTTCAAATTGTATATGAACTTACTTGCACCATCAGAAAACATCACACTATAGGTGATGTTTGGTGCTTATATCTTAATAAAATTATAGTAAATCTCCATGTTTATCATAATATCAGTAAATTTTCCAGCTTTCAATTAAATCATTGTTCCTTTATGGTTCCAAAAACTTCCAAATCTCTGACATCTATTTTTATTAAACTACCTAGATCACATTACGTGCAATTTAGTTTTTCAGTGTACATCGGTATGTACACAATTTTATAAAATTCGCATCTAGAAGTGAAATATAAACCCGTTCTTTAGTTTGCTAGTTTAGATTGCATTGAACAATTTCCAATTGGAAATATACCAATTAGGTACCCTTGCAAACAGTAAAAAATTTCGGTCAAGTGAGCGTACTGAACTGCTAGGCATAATTTTTAGTTCAATTAAGTAAAAATAATGTATTTACATAATTATACATAATTTTTATTATATAGGTAGGAAGCTTTTAGTACAACTCATTTCTGCCTGAATAAAAACTAGCCTTTGTGTTATGATATCCTGGCAAATATTCAGTCGCTTTTTTATTTTTCAAGAAGACTCCTAGACAAAAAACATGAGTGAAGAAACACGCATGTCGTGCTGGTTTCACAAGTCACAAAGTGATTAATCAAATAGAATACCTACCTATTTGACTAATGACTGCAGTGTTCATTATAATGATATTACATTTAAAAGTTACTGCACAAAATATAAGACGTTACTATCATGATAAAAGTGGCTTCTCTGGATCAGCCAAACAGCACGATCAGCGAACGGACCACCTACTCCAGCAGAAAGCAAAATCCATACACGGGTTTAAATCATGGGCCAGCAATCAGTCAGATCAATCACTTTTTAGGTAATCGAGCGACCAATCCTGCGATCCAAAAGCGATCGACTCTATGCCCAGACTGAACAAATTTTATTTATTCGAATAAGTGCTTTAAGCACATTACAGAACATAGGTGGACTTAATTCCTTACGTCTACAGGTGCAATCTGAATAATAATTGTAAAAAGAAATTAGAAATACATAGCACTATAAATTGGGTAAAATATTTTATCATTATTTTTGTCCATTATATCATAATATTATTATTGAATATAGCAATCACACACAAATATGTGTATAATAACTGTGTTTATCTATTGCTCATTTAATTTTGTGTAATCGATTCATTGATTATTAGTAAGTCTCTTTTAAATCTCTTTCGGAGTCGCCAGTTACCCCTTGGTTCCCCTATATTCCAACGTGGGAACATTGAAAAATGTAAATCCTAAATTCACAAGAGTGGTTAGCAGATACACTTAATTCAGTTCTGTAACGAGTTCCATATAAAACAGGAAGATAGCCTATTTAAAAAAAACTTGTATAATCTCCATACTTGAGGAATCTCAGTGAACTTATTGTGCACGTAGTTTTAATGGGAATAATAATAAATAAACATTATGTCCCATCACATTTAGATTAAAACTGTTCAACGGGCCTCTGCGAGTTGGCTTCGGCTCCTCGTACGCCTTCCAAAGGTCCGGGACCCTATGGTTCCGTGAAAGGAAAGAATAAACACACACATAATAAGTAACTTTTATTTTTCAAGTTTGGTAAATATGTACATAAATTAATATAAAATCATTATGACTTCATGATTTGTACTACAGCTAGTTTTAAGATTCATCACCGCCGTGACTAAATATTGTCTGATTAATGAGAAATGCTCTAAAAGTATATACTCAACTACATGGTAACAGCTTACTTGCACCGGGAGTAAAGGCAATAGTGATAATCCTAACATTACATTATATCAATAAGGCTGGGGTCTAATCATGAAGAATTATCTCTACCACTGGTGTTCCATCACTGATATTATCACACGTTTCACGGCCTGTGGCATCCGAATCAGTTCATCGATTTTAGCTAGCTTCGTAGTAATAAAATTTTAATTTATTGATACTTCATAGAGTTCTTGACACATTCAAAACTTATACATAAAATACATTCTAAGTTGATGTTTAAGGCAAACAAAGCCTACTCAATACAATTACTTAACTTTATTCGACCGGCGATATAATACTAAAATCGATGTCGATAGCTTTAATTTTCCGATATCGATATTTGGTGGTCCTATAAGAAATGAAGTTGACACACGTTGGACATACCACCAGCGACATAATGACGCAGCATGTTTTTAAAATTTTATCTGAATGTTGCTACAGTTCTAAAATTTCCCTACTTTTGTGTTCGGGCGTCCAGTGCAAGATATTATTTATAAAATTGGGAGCGAGCGCGTTCACTTGGCGGCGATTTCCTTCATCCTGTTGAGAGCAGAGCCGGCCTTGAACCAGTCGATCTGTTGTTCGTTCAGTGAGTGGTTGAGCTTGATGCGTTCTGTCTTGCCATCTTGGTGCTTGATCTCGCAATCGACGGGCTGAAAGCAATGAGGAATACATTAATTATGAACTAACTGGATGAAATACAACAATACTATTAAAGGATGGTTTTACATACCTTGCCAGGTGCGAGGTCCTTGAGTCCAAGCAGCGAGATCTTGTCGGAGGGCTGGATCTTGTCGTAGTCGGCGGGGTTGGCGAACGTCAGTGGCAACAGACCCTGCTTCTTTAAGTTGGTCTCGTGAATCCTGGAAAAAACCGTAGTGACGTATTGTAAATCCACACAAAGGTACTTTTCTTTTGGTAATCTATGTTTTTTATTCTTGTGTTATAATTGAAAGTTAATGTAATGGTAAAGATTTGATGACACAAAATTTAGTAATAATAGTTATAGCAGCGTACTTACCTAGCGAATGACTTGACAATGATGGCCCTGCCACCAAGGTGCCTGGGTTCGAGAGCGGCGTGCTCGCGGGATGATCCCTCGCCGTAGTTCTCGTCTCCGACGACGACCCACTTGATGCCGGCCGCCTTGTACGCGCGCGCGGTAGCGGGCACAGCGCCCCACTCGCCTGTCTTCTGGTTGCGGACCTTGTTCAGCTCACCGTTCTCAGCGTTTGTGGCGCTAGAATGTAATGCAATATTAATTATTATTTAGACAAGCATCTGATGCAGCGAGCCTGTAAGAGTAGCTAACTAATACAAAACGGCAGTACCAGCCGGGGTTGCGGGATCACCCGGGGTTGCAGGGTAGTCGCAATAAGGTACCGCGGCCTCGGCTTAAAGCAGGAGAAGGAACGGGGGTCTTTAGTCAGTAAGAGGCGGGAGAAGTTATTTGATGATTTTTCTTTTCGTGTTCCCTTGCAAGCTTTCTTTACTCGATATGATAAAACACTTGAATACGACAAACACTTTCAATCCTTTAATCAATCAGCTACCGTCCGTTATCAGATTACTAGGAGGTAATGTAGCAACATATTATTATGTATTATGAGTTATATGACTTACGTAATGAACATGTTGTTGGAGATGTTGTCAAGATGTCCTCTGTACTTGAGCCAGGGTCCGGCAGCGGAGATGTGGTCGGTGGTGCACTTGCCCTTTACTTTGATGAGGATCGTCATCTCGGTGAGGTCCTTGCCGTCCCACTTGTCGAATGGAGCCAACAGTTGCAGACGGTCGGATGTGGGCGCCACGTCTACTTGCACCTCTGTATAGTCATAATTACAATATTATAGCGATATTACTGCATATATCTTTTAATATTTGTGTAATTGTTGACCTATTGCAATTAATTTATATATGACAAAATTGTTGGTTACATCCCAGAGGTTTATTCTTTTTAGAAATGATATTTCAAGTACGTACTGCTGCCGTCGCTGGGTGGGTGCTGGTATGTGTCCTGGCCGGGGTCGAAACCGCGAGCGGGGAGCTCGTCTGCGAAGGGGTCAGACAGCTTGAACTTCTTGCCATCACTGCCTGTCAGGGTGTCGGTCATTGGGTTGAAGTCCAGGCGACCTGTACAAAGAAACATATATGTAGTCATATTAGCAATTTTATGTAAGAAATTAACTTATTTCACTAAAATTAAAATTTCGCCGTGTGAGTGAGGTTACCGAAGGCCCGAACCCTAATCCCCAAAAGGTCGGAACCCACTCATAACTCCTCTGTCTCTCCTAAGCGCCGATTGCTTACCATCAGGTAATCCGTCTGACTTATGCAATAAAAAAAATAGTTAATCTAACAGATGGAATGTAATTTATTTTCACAACGCTGTCATGATACTGTATGAATGGCTGTATCCTCACCGGCAAGAGACAGAGCGGTGACGAGCTCAGGGCTGGTGACGAAGCAGTGGGTGGCGGGGTTGGCGTCGTTTCTTCCGGTGAAGTTCCTGTTGTATGAAGTCACGATGGTGTTCTTCTCGCCTTTCTTCACGTCCTTGCGGTCCCATTGGCCGATGCATGGTCCACACGCATTAGCCAATACCTGCAATACACAGCAAATTATTATTTAATAAAAATACATCTTGTCTTAACCACTTACTGTTCAATGAGTTATGTTTTAATGCTGTCAACTGTTTATTAGGAACGTAAAAGATACTCGATCAATATATTTTATTAAAGTATTCAACTTGTGTGTCTTTTTATTTTATTCAACTCTATGCACAAAGTATATAGGTGGGCTTAATTGTACTTGTATTATTAATATATAATTAATAACACTAGAAAAAAATTCGTTAAGTACATGAAAAATTACGCGTGTTATATTGTATCTTTTGTATGTGTTTGGAACATTTTAGTAACAAAAGGATTGCTTATAGCTTAAACAATAGCTACCTAAAATACTTGGTAATTGTTCGTATTTAATTTTATTTGCGTAACACTCACTTCCTGATACGTGAAATTTCAAAGAGCACAAGATCATTACTAAATTATTAAAAATACAACTTATTGATTCTGTATTCAAATATTCATGCTAATCTGTAATAAAGATTTAAAAAAAAAATTATACTATATATGACATGTACAAGATATTTACCCTCGGCTG